TCAAGCTTCCCACCCGAAATACGACAATTTTATGTAACGCATCATGGTCGGGATGCCGCGTGCAAAGCAAAAAGCCACAAAGCCACGTGCAACACGCATGAAACACACTGAAGAAAACAGGGGAGACAGCCATGACTGCAACTCACCACGGTCTCAAGAACGCGCGAAAAAAGTAGAGAAACAATTTTAGAATGTGCGCCATAATCGGAATACCACTTCGCAGCACATGGGCGTCGCAATACCACATGCAAGAAAGAAAAAGCAATGCATGCAAATATCGCATGCAAAACAGATGGGACAACAATGAATGCAAGACATCATGGTCGAAGCGCAACATGCAAACCTGCATGGCAAACTCAACGGGCTCAACTTAGAGGCCACTTCGATTTCACGGAAAACCATTGCGGATCCACATCGTGATCGAACCAACACATGTCAACCCACAGGAGAAAACCAAAAAACATAAAACATCGAACAAATCACACGCAACAGCCAAAACAACAATACAGGCGGAACAACCCAATTCGACAAGCAACAGGAAAACACATTAAAAACACCGCCTCTGTAGCATACCATGACCTGGCAATCATACACAAAAACAGTGCGTAAAAACAATGACAGCTGATCTTATAAAAAAACTTAGCTAACCTATCTTAGAATATGTTAAAGGGTTATCTAACTCATGCGAACGCATGTTAAGTGCTAGCAATATCATGTTAAAGTATGTTAAAACATGCTTAATTATGTTGGACGCGGTTTAAAAAAAAAAACATGTTAAATCATGTTAAAGTTTAGATCGTCCTTATAACGCGTTAGCTAACGTTGGCTAAGCGGTCTTAAACTTTAACTTGGGTTAGCTCCACGGTTTAACATGAGTTAACATGGCTTAGATTGGCTCGCTCGCGTTAGGCACATACTTACTAAACCAACCGTACATCTTAGTAAAGATGTTAAGAAAACCTCAATTATTTTAACGAGCCGTAACTCACCCTAAACGTTAGCTGGATGGGCTAAGTACTTATGCGTGCGTTATAACAAATTAGGAAAAAAAACTTATAGTGGCTTATGTTGTGATTATACATGTTTAACGTATGCCTGTAACAACTTAGTAAGCAGCGAACTCAACGTAAACCAAGATGCTTCCAAGTATATATATATGTATATATGTATATTTGTATATATATCTATATTGTTTTCAAGGTTGGGAGGCGCCCCAGTGACCCATGCAATTCTAATGCGACCCCCCCCCAATTCGACCCCCCCGTTCGCCCCCCCCCCCCTGAGAGGGTGGGCCACGATTCGACCCCTCCCCTCTTTGCATCTCAGGGTGGTGCCCCCTCCGGTTCCAACCTCACTCTTCCCAACGTCCACAGAAAGCGCTCGTCCTGACCGAACTTAACTTATTCACTAGTTGCATGGCGAGTCCAGCCTTGCGGCCTGCTTAACACGAGGCCCCCCCCCGCCCACCCGACAGAAAGAGAAAAGATGATGAGCGCAACGGCGTTCCATCACCCAGGACCAACCAGCGCGCGTGGATTCGGGGGGTGGAAGTACCTCGTTCCACTTTGGGGAAATGCTGAAGCAGCATCGGTTCCTGGGGTCAAGAAAGGGGGGAGGGGCAAGGAGGGAGGGGGGGAGAGCTAGATCAGCAGGTTGTTCCACTTGTAAATTCGGAGAAGAGGAAAGGAGGGCGAGGAAGCAGGAGACCGCGCGGGACCACATGTGCAAGACGATTGAAACCGTCTGCAGAAGAATGCATCTGCTCACGGCGTCTCTGCTGCCAGACCGCCCGCGCAAAGCTTACCCATTCCGACCGAGCACTGGCGCGCACGAGTGAAGGAAGTGATCCCTAGATCTGTGAACATATACATATTTACATATACATGTATATATATATATGTATAGATATAGATATGTGTGTGTGTATCCCTGGTGGCTCCGCAGAGCACAGCGTCCATCGACTTGCTGTGCAGCAGGCTTATAAGCATCGCCCTCGCTGAACGGGCGCTCTCCGCAGCTGCAGCGGGCTGAGACCGCTTGGATGGGCTCAGCTTCGACTGAATGTTGTACGTATGAAAAGCAATGACGGCGCGCTCCAGTGCTAAGCGCTGCGCGTGCACGCCTGCGCCTTCGCTGCAGAGACCGAGACGTGCAGGCAACGATTCAGGGGCAGAAGTGCGGATGAACCATGCGCTGCAGACGGCGTGCCAGATGCGGGAGCAATGAACATCAGGAAACATGGCATCGAGGGCGCCAGGGCCCTCGAAGCGGCAGCAGCAGAAAAATACAGGGTCCGTCAGCATTCTTCGCGCTGGTGTGGAGGCGGCGGCTCGTCGTCCACCCGCCCGCCCAGGTCTTGAGGAGGGCGGGGTGAGCAGCGGGGGGGGGGAAGTGGTCGAGAGTAGCTCTTCGAGCGGCCCCCATTCGATCTGACGCAAGGGGAACTTTTCAGGCGGAACCGCCCAGGAATTACGGCGAAAGAGGAAGGTCGAGGGGAGACGACCAGGCAGAAGAGAGGCGACGAGGTGAGAGTGGACAAATTTCTGTATGCGAAGGCGAGCGGGCGAGCAGCGAGGAGGCGTGTCTTGTCCGCGAGCCCCTCACTCAGAGCAGAGCCACAAGCGGTGGCCAGCTTCACATTCTTGTCCCTCGCGAAGCCCGAGCCAGCCGACTCGAGCGCGTGGGCAATCGGCTTGGACTTCCAGCGGGGCGGCGCGCACAGGCCTCGCGAGAGCTCGAATGGGAGAGCGCTTTCTCCGCAGCCTCACGCAACCGACGTGCCCAGAACGGCCAGTTCAGGATGGTGAAAGGCGAAACGGCCCAACTGCAAAGGCGAAAATAATACACCCTCAAGAGTCGCGAAACCGGGCGGCGGCGCAATAGACATATTTCATGCCAGGAACCGGCAGGTTATATGAAAAGAGGGAAAACACTGAATGGGATCGGCTGGAGGGGAGGAGGAGGGAGCAGGAAGAAAAGGCGGCGCGGTAGAGTACGACGACGGCGACGGCAAACTCGGCGGTAAGGATAGCGAGACATAAGTGATACGGGATGCTGTTGGGCGCTCCTCCCGAGTACAGAACCATCCTCAAGCCCCCCCCCCATCATATACGACCCAGCGCGCCTTGCAATGCAAGAGGAGTAACCAATAGGGGGATCGACACCTCAAAGAGATCGAGGGCCCCTCAAAATCCCCCACGCCTCCCAGGACCTCCCAGAACCTCCAGAACCCACATCGATCCAAAAATCTTCGAACCTCGATTCTCAGGAGGACCTGGCGACCACCCACATGGTGACCTCCCTTGCCACTGCCTGGAGCGACGAGGCGCATAGCGACGACGACGACGCCGCCGACGACGACAACGACGACAACGACGACGAGGACGAGGGCACGCCTTGCCGCTCGACGGGCTGGGGCTGGGGCTCGCGCGGCTCGTGCGGCTGGAGCTGCGGGAGACCCCGACAAGGTGGTCCTTGGGTGCGGGTGCGGATGGGGGGAAGGAGGTGCCAACGATCCGGGGGGGGCAACGACAGCATCAATCACACGCCGCCGGTAACCCATCAGCGTGCCACTGTTGAACAGAGACGAGGGCTTCGGTCGAAGACGAAGGAGTACCACGCTGGCGGGCTCCCAAGTGCAGCGCCTCAAAGGTGCTCCAGTTCGCCTCCCGACGCGCCCAGGAAGCGGGTCCTGGAGGAGAGGGGCCCTGGAAGCCTGTGCGCCGCTCTCGGGCCCCTCGGGCCGTCCAGGCGCCCTGGGGCCGCAACGAAAACGGTTCGGGAGGAAGAGCTGGCCCCGAGAAGGCCCCCGGGTGTGGGCCCCGGCTCGCTCGGGACCCTCCCTCATGACGAGATCCTCCTCGTCCCACCCTGGGCCCATGGCAGGCCCCCGCCGTCGGCACGGTCGGGCGTGGCTCGAAGAACGTGTCGGGATACTGTCCAGGCGGCGGCAGAGTCACGCTCGTAGTATTCGGGGCCATCCTCGCCGAGTGAGACGTAGGCTGCGCTGGCAGAGGCCCGAACAGTTGTTCAAGCGTGGGATGTAGAGGCAGCGTGCTGCTGAGAGGCAGCGAAGGAAGACGAGGGTTGTCTCTCTCGCTCTCTCTCTCTCTCTCTCGCTCTCTCTCTCTGTCTCTCTCTCTCTCTCCGTCTGCCTGTCTCTCTCTCTCTCTCTCTTTCTCTGTCTCTCTCCCTACCCCTTGTTTACACAATTACAAATACTCGCTCTGATATATTCCGCTCTCTACCAAGTCCGCCACCGTGCCCCCCCTGCACGCCGAGGCGCGGTGTACTGCGAAGTGGTGCCTGGCAGGGCTTCGGTGATCTTCTCACCCCCTCTTCCCGTCCCGCAGTGCTGCATGTGTCACTGTTCCTTCCCGAGTGTTCCCAGGGGGGCCGAAGCCTCCACGACACTCTCCAAGGATGCTTTCCAAGACGGCACAGGCAGGCCGCAGAGGCCGCCCGGGAGACCCCAACGGCACCCAAGAGGCACCACAAAACTTCCCAAGGTGCTCTCTAAGACGCTCTTCAGAAAGGCCTCGGGAGGCCAAGATCATTGATGTTCCTGATGCTTGCTCAACGCGTGTCGTTTGCCACGCTCTGCAATAAACTGTCGCCCCACTTGCGGTCTTCGGAAACCCAGAAGAGGGCCCCTAGACGGCACAAGACAGCCCAAAAGAGCTCCAAGCATGACCAAGAGGGCCTCCAGAGTGCCCCAAGACGGCCAAATACGGCCTCAAGACGGCCCCCGGAGACGGCAGATATGGCCCCAAGACTGCGCAAGGGGGCCCCTCTACAACCGAAGAGGCCTCCGCGGGACCACAAAACTGCGCCATACGAGCCGAAGACAGCTTCAAGACGGCCCCTGGAGGGACCCAATCCAGGAGGGCCCTCCAACGAGGACGACGGTGGGGGGACGCGAACGACGGCAGGGCGTAGGATGACGACGACGACGACGACAGCGGCGGCGACGATGACGGCGGCGGCGGCGGCGGCAGAAACGACGACGACGACAGCGACCACGACGACCAGGAAGTGGCCTTGCCGCTCGCTGGGCTGCCTGGTGGCACCGCGGCAGGCAGCTGGATGCCCGAGGCGCGTCCACTGGGGCTGGGGCTGGGGCTCAGGCGGCTCGCGCGGCCGGAGCTGCGGGGGACTGCGGGCGGCTGCTCCTGAGCGGGGCTGCGGGGTGGGCCGCGAGCGATTTCGCCGGCGCGGATGGGAGCTAGGAGGGCGCCAGGGCTGCGCTAAAGGGGGCAGAACGAGGAGGGAACCAAACCAAGCGCAACGATCTGGGTGCGCCGCGCCAGTGGCACATCCACGCAGCCATGGCTCTCCGTTCAGAGCGGGAGGCAGGACGAAAGGCTGCCAGGGTGTGCCTCCATACGAGCAGGTCTCGGCCAAGTCGCGGGCGGGTCGTCGGCGGGCCGCGTTGGCGCGGCCGCGGGTCGCAGGGGCCACGGGCCACCAGCACCGTGGGGGGCCAGTCGTGCGGCGCGTGGGTCGCAGAGGCAGAAGGTGGGGCGCTTTGGGGCCGCGGATCGCCGCGGGCCCACTCTGGTTGCTCGGGACTCAGCGCGGGCTGGCCAACTGGGAGGACTAGCGCCGAGAGCCCACTGTCACCCAGCATGGGGGGCCACCTCGCAAGACGCCTCTATGAGGAACGCTCCCATGGGGGCTAGAACAGGAAACGAAAATTCGGAAACAGGCCGCGAACACGGGGTCGCCCCAGAATGCATGATGCGGTTGGCGCTGGAAGGGAGAACGCACTTGGAAAGCAGAGCGTGGCCAGATCTGCAAAAGGAGTCCGCATCAGAGTCAAGAGCAGAGGCATATAAAGTCAAACCGATCGAACCTATGCGACAATACGATTGCGACGTTTCCATACATGACCGTGGCACAAAGGGGGACCCATGCGAGAACAGCGTTTGCATTCCGGAGCAAATGGCACACTCTTACGCACAAGTCCGCACTCGACAACACATACGCGACAGTCGAGATGGGAGACATGGGGATCCATCAACACACTTGTCATGCCGATCTGCAAATTTATACAATGGTGGGGTGTCACGATAGAATCACGTATCACTCTCGATCGCAATGCCAACAACTGTAGCTTTTATTTCTGCACAAACACATGATTTATTTCGTTACCCCACGGGCACTTCCCGAAATTCACATTCGAAAACAATCGCACTTGAGTACGAGAGGACAACGCAACTCGATCACATGCGTGCCCCAACTTGCGCGTTGACGGTCCCAAACCCTGTGCGAGGAGAAATCCCAACTGCTCCTGAATTGCCGTCTTCGGGGGCCGCTCGGGCTGATCCCAACGTTGGTTTGACCGGTGCCCCCCTTGTGCGTCTTGCTCCACCGCTGCAGTTCTCACAACAACTGTCTCTCCTAGGAACAACTTCTGGATGGCATGGTTGGTGTGTTATTAGTATTATTATTATTATTACTATTACTATTATTACGATTATTACTATTATTAGTAGTATTATTCGTATTATTAGTATTATTAGTTTTCTTCTCTTTTTCTCAGTCGCGGCCGCAGGCGGGCGCGCGGGCAGCGCCAAGGGTCGGGCGGGCTACGCGCGAACCTAATTGCCCAACGCGCCGACAACCAGCTGCCTAAGCAGCACCTAGGCTGACTGGATTGCGCGAGGCGGCGCGGGCTGCAGCTACCAGGAACCAGGTCCAGGAGCGAGCGCATGCAGAATTAGCCAACCGAGGTTGGAGCGCAGCCAAAACGGCGCGGGAGCGATCCCAGGATGAAGCCAGGAACACCATCACGAAAGAAGCCTGACACCAGCGAGGCCAGGAAGAACTCACTGACCAGGAAACTAACGCATGGAAGTGGCGCCACCAAAATCGCACACAACGAGACTCCTGAAGGGAGTGCTGATCCGGACACTTGTCGTCAAACCGTGGACAGAGTGAACGCGAACGGCATAGCGGAGTTGCCAGCGAAATGATGGATGTGATCAACACCGTAACTGAACCTGAAACAACGGATCAAAGGAAACCACGCGCACTCCCAAACTAGGTCGCCGACGTCTGAGGAGAACTGACAAGGAAGTGGGCAGGTGCACGCCTCAAACACGCGGTCGAGTGAACGCGAGAAGCGCCGTGGGCACCGCCGCCAGGAAACAATGGATGTAGTCGACGCGGTCGGTCGGCGGACAGGAGAGCACAAGCTGGACCACGTGCGCTCGGGGGCCCCCGCGCCAACGAGGAAGCCGGGCATGTGGAGCAGGGGGGGCAGGGGGCCAAGGCCATCAGGGCTGCTGCGGGCCCGGCTGCCTGAGGAGGGGCGGAAGGAGCGAGGAGGCCCAGGAGGCAGCGATGGCAAGAGGGGCGGTGCAGATCCGCCACCCCGGAATGCCCTTTGCGCCGCGGAGGGCCCAGGGGCGGCGGGAAGAGCAAGCGCCGCTGAGCGAGGGCAAGGGCTTGCAGGCTGGCAGCGCCCAGCCAGAGGTGAAAATAGCGATCGCACAAGCACCGCTGGCGCAGACGGACGCAGGGAGCGTCGGCGCGGGGTGGTGCAAGCGGCGCGCGGTGCGGGCCAGCGATCACGGGCTGCGCCAACTCGCACGACGGCGTCAACTGCGCCCGCGGCGCCGGGGGGGGCGCACGCGCGAGCGGCCCTGGCCGCCGCTGCCGCCCAGAGCAGCCGGCGAGGGGCGACAGGGCCACCGGCAAGCAGCGGGCGGCGAGGGGCAGGAAGGGCGGGGCGGCGGCAGACTAATGTGAAACAAGGGCGGGCGCGCCCACAGAGCTTTAGGTGACGACCTCCCAATGTTTCTTACCCTTCCTGGGTGCGCGGCTGTCAGCGTGGCTCTTCGCCGCCCGGCGCCCCCTGCCCGCGCCGCCGCTTGCGCCCAGGTGCCGATGCCGCAGCTGAGCCCAATCAACGCCGAGTTCCAGCGCGTCGATCATGGCCCGCACGTCGCAGTTGTGGCTGCGCCAGGAGGACTAGAAATTGACGCGAGTTTGCTGGTCGCCCCGCAGCGGGTCGAGCGCGCCTTTGCTGCCAGGCACGGCATGCTGCTCGGCGAACGCGTGCCGGGCGCCTGTGAACATCGCCCCGATGGTGACTTGAAGCCGCCTGATCGTCGCGCCAAGTGTCTCCCCGGGGGGGCCCCACTGGATGCCGCCGATCTTAACTTTATACAGCGGCTGTCCCGCGCCGGGGTCTAAGGGTTCTGGCCATGGGCGCGCGGCGGGCCCCGTTGCCAGAGGAAGGGTGGTCAGCGGCTGGTCATGCATTGGCGCGGCGGCTGCTGCTGCTGCTGCCGTTGTCTGCCGTCTGCCAGACCCGCCGGCGCGGCCGGCGTCGCTGGGGGTCAGATTTCGACCCGAGGGCGGCGGGGAGACTGGAGAGTCGCCGGTCGCGGAAGCCAGGCAGGGCGCCCACCCGCTGCCAAGAAGACGCGCCGGGGGCGCGTTCCGGCCGCGCTGCCGTCGCCCATCGGCGCGCGAGCTCGCGCCGGTGCCAGAGTGGGAGGGGCCAGGGTTAGACGTGGCAGCCAGGGGAGTGTGGCGGGGGGGAGCCTGTTCCTGCTCCTGCCATCGATCCAAGTCCTGCGCTGGCGCAACTTCCGCGCCCGCCCCGCGAGCGGCGGGCAGCTCCTGTTCAGCGGGCTCTTCCGGCGTCTGCCCCGCATGCCGGATCGTCTCTGGCAGCTCGGGCAGAGAGGAACGTTGCGCCGAGGTGTGCGGGGGCAGGCCCCCTTCGCTGGCTTTCGCCTTCGGACCCGCGCCCGCCCTCGCTCGCGGGCGCGCCCCCATCTGCCGCCGTGCTATCGCCAGATGAGGGAGTGCCGTCGGTCGCACCAGGCGCATGCGCGTTCGCCGACGCCGCTTCTGTCGCCAGATCATAAATCCCCATCTCTGGCGCGGCCCGGCCTCTGGAGGGCGAGGGCGAGGTTCGCCGTCCACGCGGGTGGATTCATTGACAGGGGAAGGAGGGCGAATTGGCGCGAAGGGACTCCTCTCGACGAGCTGGCGGATGGCTTCGACGCCCTGCCCCTGCAGGGCTGGTCCGTGGCCCCCCGGCGGGGGGTGTTCGAACGCCCCACGGGCGACTGCGGTCGGAGTCACAGCTGGGCGTCGCAGGGCCTCGCCGTCGACCGGGTGCAACGACGGCCCCAGACTTTCCGGGCAGCGGGTTCCATCATAGCCGTCAGCCACGGGGGCGGGGGCTTCGGAGGCGTCGGCCAGAGCGTCTGCGCCGGTCGCGAAGACGCGCCCGTCTGTAGCCCGCGCGCGCAGCCAGGAGTCAGGCGCGCCATCCGTTCGCGAGCGCCCTGGGTCGCGCGGAGGGTCTCCGATCTCGGGCGCGCCCTGCGCAGCAGTCCGAGCTGTCGCCGCGGTGCTCTCCAGGAGGGGGCGCATTTTCGGCCGTCGCTGCGACTCTGCTCGCCGAGCGCTGATAGGAGTGAGGAGTTGTGGGGGCGCCAGTCTGCCCGCGCCCTGGAGGGGGGGGGGCGGACAGACGCGCTGTGGCTGACGATCACCCGATCAGTCTGAAGCTCCCCCAGAGGACTGTCGCAGCTAACGGCTGCACTTTCACACGCAAACTCCTGAGCCTCCATGTTGCGAGGAACGTCTCCGAGCGCGGGCGCGCACCCTGAAGCGCCCCCCAACATCGCCGCGACGCTGTCTCCAGGAGGGGGCGCGCTTTCGAGCGCTTTCGAGCAGTCTCCGCTGCCCCGCGGCCAGGGGCGCCGGCAGGAGCGAGGAGTGCTACGGGGGCCCGCCTGCCGGTCTCCAGGAAGGGCAGGGGCCGACTCGCTGTGGCCGACGACCGCGCGCGCGGTTTGTTGCGCTACCAGAGGACCGTCGCCGCTGAAGGCTGCACTTTCGGAAGCGGAGCCCTGACTGTCACAGTTGCGAGGAACGACTCCGAGCGCGAGCGCGCCCTCGGCAGCGCCCCGGGCACCCCCGACCATCGCCGCGATGCTGTCTCCAGGAGGGGGCGCGCTTTCGAGCGCATTTCCGGCCTCCTCGGCGAACATGCCCCAAGGGCGCCGACGGGGGCGAGGGGCGCTATGGGGCCCCGCCTGCCGGCGTCCAGGATGGGGGGGGGGGCCGACGCGCCGTGGCAAACGCCTTCCTGATCAGTCATCACCCAAAGGACTTTTGCATCTGAAGGCTGCGCTTTCGGATGCGAGCTCCTGCGTGTCTGAATTGGGGGGAATGTCTCCGAGCGCGGGCGCGCCCTCTGCAGCGCGCCCAGTTACCGCCGCGATGCTGCCACCAGGAGAGAGCGCGCTTTCGATGGCATTTCTGGGTTCTTCCGCGAACCTGCCCCAAGGGCGCTGATAGGGGCGAGCGGTGCCACGGGGGTCCGCCTGCCGGTCTCTAGGGGGGGAGAAGTAGATGCGCGGTGGCTGACAGCCGCGCGATCGGTCTGTGGCGCCCCCAGAGGACTTTTGCAGCTGACGGCTGCACATTCGGAAACAAACTCGTGACTGTCTGCGCCCTCTGGAGGAAAGTCTCCGAGCGCGGGCGCGCACTCCGCAGCGCCCCCAAGTGTCCCCGTGGCAATTTCCAGGAGGGGGCGCGCTTCGGGTCGCATCTGCAGCCTTCGCGCCGACGCCGCCCTAATGACGCTGATAGGAGCGAGGAGCAACGAGGAGGGCGATCCGCCTATGACGAGGAGGGGGAGGGGCCGGCACGCTGTGGCAGACAACCACATTTTCAATCTGAAGCTCCCCCAGAGGACTGTTGCAGCTGAAGACCGCACTTTCGGAGGCAAGCTCCTGGGTGTCTAGTCTGCGAGGAACGTCTCCGAACGCGGGCGCGCCCTCTGCAGCGCTGCCAACTATCGCCACGACGCTGTCTCCAGGAGGGGGCGCGATGCTGTCTCCAGGAGGGGGGGGACCGACGCGCTGCGGCAGACGACCACCTGATCAGTCTCGAGCTCTCCCAGGAAAAACTTGTGCAGCTGAAGGCCGCGCTTTCGGATGCATCTTCCTGGCTGTCAGAATTTTGAAGACTGTCTCCGAACGCGGGCGCGCCCTGCGCAGCGCCCCCAATTGTCGCCACGGCGCTGTCTCCAGGAGGGGGCGCGCTTCGGGTTGCATCTCCTGTCTCTACAACGACGCTGCCCCAGGGGCGCTGGTAGGAGTGAGGAGCACTATTGGGGTCCGCCTGCCTGCCTCCAGGAGAGGGAGGAACCGGCGCGCTGCGGCTGACGACACCCTGTTCTGTTTGGCTGGGGGGCTGGCCGCCTCCAACGGCCGGCCGTGCGCCGCCGCGGCGGCGCCGGCCACCGCGCCAACCGCCGCCGCCGCCGCCGGCGAGGAACGGGCAGCCGCAGCGACAGCGGCCGCCGCGCTGACCGCGGCGCCGCTGGCCGCCGCCGCCGCCGGAGGGGAGCCGGCGGCGGCGGCAACACCAGCGGCGGCGGCGGCAGCGGCGGCAGCGGCGGCGGCGGCCATGCCGCCGGCGGCCGCGGCGCCGGCGGCCGCGGCGCGCCGGCCACCGCGCCCTCCGCCGCCGCCGCCAGCGGGGAGCCCGCGGCGGCAGCGGCAGCGGCAGCAGCAGCGGCCGCCGCGAAGGCTCCCGCGACGCCGCCCACGGCGCCGCCGGCCGCCGCCGCCCGCCGGAGGGGAGCCAGCGGCGGCGGACGCGGCGGTGGCGGCGGCGGCGGCGGCGGCCGCGGCGGCGGCGGCCGCGTGGGCGGCCGCGGCGCCGCCGGCCACCGCGCCCTCGAGCGCCGCCGCCGGAGAGGAGCCAGCAGCGGCGGCGGCAGCGGCAGCAGCGAGGCAAGCGGCCAGCGCGGCGCCAGCCGCGCCCACGGCGCCACAGGCGCCGGCGGCGCTGGCGGCGCCCGCGGGGGCCGAGCTGGGGCGGCCGCCGGCCGCCTCCGACGGCAACGGGCCGGCAGCGGCGGCGGCAGCCCGGGCAGCCCGCCAAGCCCAGGCGGGGCGGCCCGCCGCGCCGCCGCCAGCCGCTGACGGCGGCGCAGAGCGGCCCCGGAGAAGGCCGTGGCGGGAGCGGACATGGCCCAGGCCCGAACGCGCACCTGAGCCAGGGGCGGGCTTGGGCCGAGACGGCTAGAGCCAAAGGCTACGGGATGGCTGGTATGCGGGAAGCGTCAAGAACGAAACGACGACCTGCCAAATCTCGAGCCGATCTAGGCAAGGTTCCTGACACACTGTTGTCCGATGGTGCTACCCTGAGTACGGCAAGATGTTGCTGTGATGACGTGGGCGTTGTTTTCTGACACCGCGCGGATCACCTAGCCTTAAACGATCGCTGCGTTCCGACAGCCGAGATCGGGGCCACAGGCGGCGCTCAGCTGAGTTCAAGGCCCCTGCTGGCACTCAGCCCTGAACGCCCGCGCTGGGGCCTTCGCCGTGGCACGCGGCGCGAACCTACCAGGGACAGCCGAAGGCCCGGATCAGCGGGGAAGCCTGCGCGGCCAGCGGACGAGGAACAAAGGCATAGCAGGAGGTTGGGCGGCTTGGCGACCCCAAGCCCCGATTTTGTGGGACGTTTGACTGGACAACATATGTCTGGCCCAACTCGGAGATACACGATGGGGGAGCGTCTGTCTTCCATAGAAATGAGCCGCGGCCATATTGGGCGTTATGGGGGGGGGCGGGGGGGCAATACGTAACGCCGCCCCCCCCGCCCGCGACCTGTGGCTCCCGCACCACAGCGCCTATGCGCATCACAGCAAGCACCACAAGGCGCAGCACAGAATGCACCGCCGCAGACGCGTGTACCACATCTCGTATGTACTGCGCAGTGCGAACGTGCACCCACCGTGCACCAGAATTCTTTTTCTCCATACCCTCCTTCGACCATTATGATGTGCTGGTGTATTGCCGGACGACGCAAGCGCCCGAACGCTGGGCGACGAAGACAACGACGATAACGACAACAACGACGAGGGCGCGGACGCGGACGCGGACGGGGACGGGGACGACGACAAGGACGAGGACGAGGACGAAATCGACGAGGACGACGACGACGACGAGGGAGGACAGGACGACGACGAGGACGAGGACGACGGACGAAGGCCGCCTCTGAAAGTCTTTTCAGTTCTCCAGAGAACACAGGAGGTCCCCCGAGACCTCTGCAGGAGTCTGGAGGCCCTTCGAGGCCCTCGGCGACGACGGCGAAGACGAGGACGACGAGGACGACGACGAGGACGAGGACGACGAGAACGAGGACGAGGACGACGACAAGGACGAGAGTGGGACGAGGACGAGAACGACGATGACGACGAGGATGAGGACTATGATGACGACGAGGACGACGAAGACAACGACGACGACGACGACGACGACGACCGACTCTGAGTGTCTCCGCAGGCCTTCGGAGACCTACGGAGGTCGCCAGAGACCTCTGGAGGCGCCTGGAGGCCCTTCGCGGCCCTCAACGACGACGACGAGGAGGACGAGGACGAGGACGACGACAGGAACAAGGACGAGGACGGGGACTTTTGCTAGAAGCAGCTGCCATCTAGACTCCAGAGCCGAGGCTCGAGGGCTAGCAGACAGGGAAAAAAGAAAGCGGGAGGGCGCGCCGAGGCCAGGAGCGAGCCCAGCAGCGCGCACAGGACCGCGGCGGCCCCCCCCGAGAGAATTTGGATCATTGAAGCGCAAGCTCACCCGTCGGGTGGCCTGCTGGCCTCCTCCTGGTCCCTCAGCTTGACCTCCGCGGCGCAGGCGTCGTTGAAAGCCGAATCCGCCGTCCCGAAGCCTCCCGCAGCAAAGCGACTATCTTGCAGGCGACGTCGATGCGCCTACGGACACGGACCAGGGCGAGAGGCTCGAGGGGCGCGGCGGCGTGCATGTGGTCCACGAAATGGGAATCGGGCAAGAACGCCTGGATGCCCTCCACCTGGACCCGCAAGCACTCCAGCAGGCCGTCCACAGCCGTCAGCCCGTCCGAAACCGGCGCCGCAGCGTGGCGAGGCACCTCCTGCTGCTTGGCCTCCTTCACCTTCTTTGCATTGACCCTGGTGCCGCCGCGCTGCAACCGCCGAGCCGCAGCGCCAGTCTGGGGCAAGGCATCCGCGCCGCACCCGCAGCTGGCGTGCATGGCAGTGTTCTTGAAGGCCCGCACGTCGCTGGACAAGGTGGGCAGATCGTCATCCGCGCCCGCCTGCGCCTTGGCCTTGACCCACGGGCGCGTCCTGCTCAAGCGGCCGTCCACCTCGAGCTCCACCTCCTTCTCGCCGACAGCATCAATGCCGTCAACGCCAACTCCCCAACCATCAGGAACTCCGCGATCAGTTGGCGGAGCTGCCAGCGCTCGCCAAAGCGCCCCAACCACCGCCGCGCACACCTGGCGCGAGCCACCGCTCCGCACCGTGACCTCCAGCCAATCGCGAACCTCTGTAACCAAGCGGGCAAAACTGCAGAGGTCGGGCTCTTGAGCCAAAATGGCTACGGACGAGGACGGGGATGGGGACGAGGACAACGACGACGACGACGACGACGACGACGACTAAAACGACGACCAAGACGACGCCGACGCCGACGCCGACGACGGCAACCACGAAGACGACAATATCCACGACGACGATAACAACGACAACGACAACGACGACGACGACGACGACCGCCTCTGAAGGTCTACAGAGGTCTCCAGAGGCCTCGCGACATCGCTAGAGGCCTCTGGAAGCGTCTGCAGGCCATACTAGTGCCAGAGGCGCACTACGGGGGGAAGGGGCGTTGTGTTACGGCGGGGGCAGGGGGGACATAACGCGCGTTATGGCCCAGAGGATACAAAAAACAAGCTCTATCCCCGAACGCACGTAGAAGAGCAAACAAACAGCAACGAACGTTTGGAAGTCCGAGCGAATGTCTTGTGCCAGCGCTGAACTCCCCTCCCTGACGTGCTTCGCGGGCGGGGGGCTGCACCAGTAGCGCCCCCCGGGGGGATCCAGTGCCGACACCAACAAAAACACGAACCTCAGAACGTTCATGCTGCTGATATAGGTTTATCTCCTTCTAATAAGTCAGGAGGAGGAGGGGAAGAAGACACGGGCAGGATACAGAGCGGGGGGGGTGAGAAGCCTTATCCCCCAATATGTATCCCCCCCCTCTCTTTTCCCTGTCCCCCCCTCCATCCGCTTCTCCGGGAAGGGGAGAGGGAGGAGAGGGAGCAGGCGGCGGGGGGAACGGGGTCAGGGGGGTCATCGGGAGAGGGGGGAAGCTGGAGGCGGGAGGGGGAGGGACGAGGTAGGAGGTAGGTGCACTCGCGTCATATCGGACGTCATACCCCCTCCCTCCCATCCCTCACCATGGCATACATCTCCTCTCCAAATTGGCCGAGAATATGGAAGTGGAGCCAACGATGCGACGGGAGCGCCATTGTGGAAGAGCCGGAGATGCGGAAATGAAGCTACAAGTGAAGCGAGATCGCGTTTCTAGAAGGAGAGGGGGGAGGGAAGAGCTGGGGCAGGAAAAAGAATGCTTACCTGAACGGCTTGTCCGCAAGCGCTCTAGACGGTGCTTGTAAAACGCTCAAGGAGGAAGCCCGGGCCCCGAAACCGCTGGCCCATTGTAGACACCCTCGTGAACCGTGCAAGTAAAAAGGCCAGGGACACACAAATTCGCCAGCCCAACAGGCCAAGGGCGTGCTAGGATCTCTGGCACTGGTTAACAATTCGTCTACTTCGTGCGCGCGGGGCCGCCCTTGGGGGTCCCCGGACGAAAAGTACGTAGCACCCCGCAGATGCGGATAAGAGTGAGAGGGCGGTGGGGACGTCGGCACTCTGCGAGACTCTGGAGAAGCCTGCCGCAGGCACCAACGTTTCACGAATTATGCAACGAGCCCGCCACAGGCGCCGATTTTTCGTCACACCAATGTGGGTACTTAGGTCGCGGGTGGGTCTCAAATGGGTCGCGGCTGGGTCACGGGTGGGTAGTGGGTCGCTGTTGGGTCGCGGGTGGGTCGCAAGTGGGTCGCGGGTGGGTCGCAAGTGGGTCGCGGGTGGGTCGCAAGTAGGTCGCGGGTGGGTCGCGGGTGGGTCGGGGATGGGTCGCGGGGTGGGTCGCGGATGGGTCGCGGGTGTGTCGCGGGTAGGTCGCGGGGTGGGTCGCGGGTGGGTCGCGGGTTGGGTCGCGGGTGGGTCGCGGGGTGGGTCGCAGGGTGGGTCGCGGGACGGGTCGCGGGGTGGGTCGCGGAGTGGGTCGCGGGTGGGTCGCGGGTGGGGGGTGGGACGACGACAACAAACAAACAAACAAACAAACAAACAAACAAACAAACAAACAAACAAACAAACAACAACAACGACAACAACAGACACGGGGGGTGGGACAACGACAAACAAACAACAACAACGACAGTGTTCGGATCGTGAGCCACATCCGAACACTGAGAGGTCGCAATCGTAGTCGTAGTGCTCGTCATCGTCGCAGTCTCCGGAGAGATTTCGTTTTCGGCGTTTACCTTTGCTTGAACTATTAATGCTTTTGCCGCGACCTTTGGAAGGGGGGGCGATGCTTGCCGCGACCTCTAGAGGATGAACGAGACTTGCCACCATATGCGCCACATCCTTTGCCATAGTGCGATGTTGATCCATGTCCTTTTTTTTTTTTTTTTTTTTTTTTCTTTTTTTTTTTTTTCGTAAGCCGGGCCGACTTAATGGAATATCAGAAATCAGATGAAACTTGGGACCGCACAGCGTGCAACCGTCACCACCTTTTCCATTGCTGGATCTGTGCCTTTTTAATTCCTTGCCTTTGCCGTAGTAGTCGTCCTGGGATCCTGACGTCGATTATGCAGTTGGTGCCGTTTCTGTTCCGTCTGCTGCTGGGATATGTTGTGACCAATCCCCATGCGACCATGCACTATCATCCTGCCACCAATATCCTTCGAAGAAGCTGTCCTATCATACCATCCGTCAGAACACCAGCTATCATCGTACCATTCAGAATTCAGTCGATGATACTGGATCATATCGGGAATGCTCGAGCCGGCGTTTGTCTCAGCGTGGACCATCCGCCGGAGTAATATCATCAAGTCTTCGAAGCGCGCCAGGTTGCCATCCAACTTTAGCCCGATATCGTCATTCGATCGATCCATGTGAGTTCCCGGCGTCGTTGATCTCCAGGTCTGAGTTATGGTGGGCTTCGTCCTGCGTCATTCTCCACATAGCTTAATATAATGACAAGCTGGGGTTGCCACGATGATGCATGAAGATCGCGTCGGGGGACTGGATGTACATTTCTTGCATGCCGGACTCTCTCTGCAACGCATTGAGCAACACCGTCGCTCCTGCAGGCTCTGCTGGGAATGCTTCACCTGCTGCGTTCTGCCAAACTTCATGACTTCATGACTTGGTTGTGCCAACAACCCACCACCGACCATCTCATTCATCATGCTTGTGGAAAGGCCGAAGCGCATACGCTGTTGGCGATCTGGAACGCTGCACCACTGAGGCGGCCAGCCATGGCCGGTCCATAAGCGCTCTCTCCGACATCCGTCTGGCGTCACCAGAGGCGAAACAGCTGAACATATCTGCGAAGAAGACATTTGGGCAGAGCTGCTCTCCAGCCGGGCGGGGCACTCTAGGTGAAGCTGTCCAAGGGAAGGCCCGGCTCAGAGGCATAACCACCACCATCGGGAGTCATCCTACAGAGAGCTCCTCGAATAAGTAAGAAGATCAAGAAACTGAGCCTCTGCCTCGGCAGGGAAGTTGCACTGCGCGCAAATTGGATCGCTCTGGCCCTCTCTGGCCTGCTCGTCGCGCTGGCCGTCGGACCCCTAAGAAACTCTCGGCGGTCTCGCCGGCGCGGCGGCGGCGCGCGCTGGCGCGGCGGAAGGCCGGCTGGAGACAGCAATGGCACATCCAACGCTACCAAAGATAGTTTCTCGATTTAAACCCAGGACGAAGGATCAACTGTATATATATATATATATATATACAGCTTGTGCATTCGCGAATCTCTGCCAGGCTCTTGAAAAGGCCCCGACAAAGACGATCCCTTTTCCTTCAATGCGATGCAGCGCGAGGCGGGAAGCACAAGGCTGCCCAGCCGGGCAAGGAGCAAAAAACTGTCAGCGATTCGTTGATATAAGGCCCACACCCGCAGGAGAGAAATAGCCCCTCGGCAGCATCACACACCAAACCGATCAGCCATCACTTCCTCGCGCTGCCGGTCAACGGCGGCAATGAGCACAGAAGCAATCTGCTTGCACAGCTGGTTAGGGCACGGGCAGGCAATGGCTGTCCAGTGACGGTTACTGACTGGATCACGGCCAACAAGCTCGAGGTGGGCGCATCCGGCGCGCGAACATTTGCCAGCAACTGGGGTGCAGCGGCGGCGCAGCTTCATACACTCGGCGCCAACGTGCCAGAAGGCGATCCTGGTTCTTTTCCGCCAGGGCATGCCGAACTGGCAGTAATCGAGAACAACTTCATGGCAGCACGAATGAGACAAGAGTTTCTTCAGGCAGGTACTTGCCAGATCACAGAGGTGTGAAGGTTCTCAATAGCCACGGGACACTTATACAGTATGCACAGGCGAATGATTTTAATGCTGAAGTCTAAAAGCTCGTTTCCAACGCTCACTGCAGCCAGGTCCCTTTCCGAAAGGCCGGGGAGGCCAGGGGGGAAAGAGGCGGAGCGAAGAGGGGGGCGCCTGGCTGCAGAGAACGTGGCACAAGGGGTGGCTAGCCAGACACAGCGCACAGCCTTCGCGAGGATCCACCCTTGAATGCGGCGGGCAAAAGCAGGGATCATATGATTCTCAGCGGCGTGCTGTAAAAGATCCAGGCCTAACGCGCTGCGATCACACGCCGAAGTTGCTTGGTCAAGCGGGCGCTGCCACAGAACAGCTCGAGAAAAACGCACCGCCTGAAAACGCGCCCGTGCTTCGCAGCTTGCCTGAACACGTGAGCGAGGTGCCTATCCACATCCTTCCCCGAGGCCGCTAGCGCAGCGGCATGCCCAGGCTGCTGAGGGCCTGGCGGGTGCGCAGGGGCAGGAGGTCCAGCACCTTGCCTCCGATCAGGCCGCACTCGACGATCAGGCGGAAGTGCTCCTCCACCACGCGGCCGAACTCGAGAGTTGAGCTCGGCACCTGGTTCAGCTGCGTCAGCACTCGGGTCTCCTTCCCGTATCTCTTGAGAGACTGGCTGGTGGCCCAACGCCCCCTCCGCTGGACGGCCTCCACTGACCGCCCCTTGCGAAGGAGGTTGTCCGAGGCCCCCCCGTGGCGGAGGGAGTGCAGGTGGGGCTCCAGCGCTCCGAGCCCGAGGAGGTCGCAGGCCATCTTGAACTGCTTCCCGAGCTCGCTCTGCGAGAAGGGCCAGAGCGGCGCGTTGTCGGGCGTGGCCTGCTTCAGCGCGGCCACGACAGGGATCGGCCAGTCGTCCAGGTCCAGCAGCGCGGACTCGCCCCAGTTGCCGGTCTTCCCCGGCTGACCCCCCGCGGCGTCGGCCAACAGCAGCCCCCAACGTTGGAAGCGCGGCCCCGCCTGAGGGTTGCTGGCGACCACGTGGCGCCCCAGCAGGCGGAAGCACTCGATCGGCCGCAGG